GAATTTCCAGCAGATATTATGACACATTAACTGAATCGAATTGATTGAAATGATTTTGATAGCTATGTCGAATCGAACAATTAAGGTTTGGTTGTGACGTCAAATCGCATAGAATCGATTGATAAGCATAGGTTAAGTAAACTACGATATGTTGCGATATACGATATAGTACGATAAGCGTTCTGCGGTACGGTATGCAATATGCTTTGGCACGCGATATACTAAGATACACAATATACTACGATATACGATATGCTGCGACACGCGGCGTAGTATGCTACGATATACGACCAACGCAGTAAACAAGAGTGCCTTCGTCTCCTGCTTTTAAAATCACTTATCGTAAGCAGGTTGATGATGCTTACTATAAAATTCAAGACAATTCCAACAGCGGTCCTTTTTTTCTTTTTAATCATTTTAAACGGATTTGTTTACTAAATCTGTTACTACTTTAGACTTTTTAACGCTAAGCAAAGGCTCAAATAATATTAGAAGTTTTATTTCCAAGTGTTACAAGCAGTGCTGTGCTGAGTAAGTGGATTTTTGCAAAATTGTAATTAAAAGAAAAGAGAAAAGATATAACAACAACAACAACACAAAATTCATCTTTTGAAAAAAACAATTACTTACGCTGGCCTTTTTATAACTTCGTGTACATTGGTGTAAGAGAAAGCGCTAAGTAAACCTTTTGCTAAGTGAATTATGTAATGGTTTTAAAGGATTAAAGCACACACATTTAAACCAGAAACCATAAAGTTTATTTTAGAACGTTTCATTTTTATACAACCTGGAAGTAGCCGTGAATTAATCCTCGTTTCGTTGCAAAACGAAAAAAAAAAGGCAGCAAAAAAAAAAAAGCACAAGAATTAATAACACGTATACATATTTTATCCGAAATGGTTACGGACAATATTCTACAAAAATACAAAATGTAAAAAATTGCTTTACACTTATCAGCAAAGGATGCTAAATTTATCGCACGATTTATAACACATGGGTACACGCAATGAGTAGTACTGGAGTAACAGAATTCTTAAGGACCCATTCCTGGGATACAATAGGATGACCAAATGTTTTAGTCTTGATTTTCTCAACGCTCATTAGATTAGGATTGGAGTGGGACTGAGGTGGATTATATCTTTGTCGATTTTTTTTCTCATTTTCCTCTTTAACTCTTAACTTTTTTTTCTCCAATACACTTTCGAAGATCAAACTTTTCCATATTTCCGTTAAAGGTGTCGAAGCTGCGAATTTGCCTGCTAGGTTTGTTCGCTCCTTTTTAAAGAGACCGCCATTATTGCTTACCCAAAAAATTTCAATTTAGTCTCTGTAAGTGGTAATGGTACTCCTTGCTTTGTTCATGTTGCTCCTGCTCGAATTTAAAGGATTGCGGATAGTTTTTACGACGGACGAACTCTCTGTGATGATAAACGTTTTACATTTGTCTTGCGAGCAAGGTTTGTGCCTTGAAATATAGTGATTAGCTTCGTAGATGTAGATGTAGAGGCGCTTAAGAGGGGGATAACTTGGACATATGCCATGAGTTTAATTACTGCACAGATAGGGATGAATCGCCACTTTTAAAAGGAGATCTCTTATCTTCTATATAGTGAGAGCAGCATCAACTCATTTATTTTAACATTAAATATTAGTCACAGAGCATACTGCATTCTGAGCGACAAGACAGAATCATTACAACTCATAAGGAAATTTTTCTGTGTGGTTTGCGGAACTGAACAACCTTGCTTTATAAGAAAACTGAAAAGGGGCGTTTTCGTATACACCCCCATACGAGGCATCTGTTTGTGTGTGTGGTTTACCGAATTAAACAATCCTGCTTTATAATAAACTGATCGCGGGAACGTTTTCTTATGACCTTGGAATACCAAAATTAATGCAAAAACAACTGTGTATAAGAGTCCACAGAGAGTTCCTTAGAATATACTGCTTAGCTTAAAGTATTGGGATTGAGATATTGTAGCTTATAAAGGACAAATGTTTTGATTGTGGTAGGTCGGTGTGCAAGATTCGGTCTATTAAATCGCATATATAAAGTTTACTCTTTTTTGCTTTCATTTCCGTTGAGCTACCGCACGTTTTACAACAACGACAATAAATGTAAACATTTTTTTCGTTAATCTTTATTATTCATGGCGTGTGGGTGAATATTTCGTTGTTTTTTTTATTTTTTTTTATCTACAATCACCCAAAGTGTATATATGTAAGCGCCGAGATAACTAAATAGAGGCATTTGAAGGGCCGCTGTTAACCATTATTGTTCACCAATGTATTTTACTCAATAATTTTCATGTTACCTTAGGTTGCATCTGCAGAAGACTTGAGTTATCTTTTAAGTTTCATTTTACAAAAAGTAAGTAAAGTGAAACTTTCTAAAAGACTTGCTTCATAAAGAAAATGGAATAAGTGAGAAAGCGAGCGAAAGTTTACGAAAGAAATTCGCGTGTCTTGTTTCGCAAAGCCATTTAATAAATATTAACTTTCCAAGGCAACAAAAATTGCACATTGCACTGCATTTAATTCATTTTCAAGTGAACTCATGTGTTAAACAAGCTTCTGCTATCTAAAGATGTGCAAATAGACATTCTATTTATTGGTCTTTCTTATCAAGAAGAGAATAAGAATAATGCTTTCCCTTAATAGAATGATAAAAAAAATAATTTATTCAATCTCCAGCTGCGCATGGTTGTCATCTTTCCATAGAATATGAATTCCGTGAAGGTAGACATCTGCCGCCTTAATGCTTTCCGGTAAATTTTTTGTTGGGTATCATCATAAAAAACGAAGCACTGCTTGAACAAACTACCGGTCATCGATTAAAGGCAACAATCATCAGCAGATGATTACCGCGGTAAATGTGGCATACACCAATTCAATTGCACATCGTTAGCATCTTTTCATAGAATATGAACATCTGCTACTTCAATGTTCTCCATAAAATGTGACAAACATCAAAGCCCTGCTCGACCGATTAAAATCAGTATTTACCAACAGAAGTCATGTGAATGCATGCCGTATCTGTTGCAGATATCAATTTTCTTAGAGTGAATCGAATTCTATTGGTGTTTGGAAATTCAGTGGATTGAATGCATTTCTCTTCTCTTCCTAAATATAAATATCAATGTACATGATTCTGATCCACATAGATGGATGTTATTGGGTCGAGGAAAAGTCTGTAGCCTTCTCTCGAACAGACAGTTGGACAACTAATGTTAACATCCTTCTGACATTTTTTAAATCCCCCGAAGGTAACTAACTTATGAAAGTGGCTAAAATTCAGAAATAACCCGTTATGTACATATATATATATATCGATCAAGGCGATAATGCTTTTTGAGCATGAGAAAAAGTTCGTAGTGTTCAAATGTGGCAAGTAAATGGTTTTCTAGTTTTTGTTCGGGCCACGCTCTAGTCATCAGTCATTGATAAAATTAATGAAATTCTCCAAAGCATCGAGAAAAATCGTCGAGAGCGTTGCGGAGCGAAGCATTCAGCAAAACGAAGTTTCGAAAAAGAAGTTTTCGTCTCCTTCTTAATGTGACATATTTAAAACAACTGCATTTTTCTGCGTGAATGATTGGTGTAACAACGGAACATCGAGACATGCAGTAATAACGCACAAAAAATGGCCATAGTTCAAATGGACAAGCCGTATAAACCGTAGAAAAGACCGGTTTTGCCACCACTTGAGGTAACGTTTTGTATTTAAGTCGTCGTATGGTGAGCTGCTGCAACCAGGCAATAAGACCGATTTCGTTCTCTACGGTCAACAACTAATCCTGTTAACGGTCGAAATTCAAGTTAAGTTTCCAGAATTGCTCATCTTCCACCACGATAATATCGAACAACGTAAATCTTTAATGGCTAGGCATAAATTGGGGGATCTGTTCTATAAGGTAGCGATGCATTCATTTAGCCCTTCCAAATCGCATTTGCTTTTCTCCTACAAGGTTGTCTTAATGATCTTCATAGGTGGCCTATGAAAATGGAACAACTTTTTTCCCAGAAAGCGCAAAATTTCCACAATGATTGTCGAATGATGTCACTGGAAAGAAGGCAATACGTTTTCAATCAAATCGCCTCAGATTTGCTTCAATAAAGTCGATTGGAAATGTAAAAAAATTGTGATTGAATTTTCGCGATTGAATTTTCCTTTATTCACTTATCGAATCAGCCAGTACAGCTTCGTGTTCATTGTAAGCATATCGTGGACGTATAATTTATGCAATTAAAGCAAAAACACATGGGACAATATACGATTTCCGGTCATAAGCGTAGTGGGACGAATAACGAACACACGGACATTTAGATAAACGAACGATTGGTAATCATACGGACACATAAATAAACGGATGGCGAGCAGACGAATGAATGGATGTGTTGAAATAACTAAATTGATTAGAATCTTACAATGGCCAGTTTATGGAGTGAAGCGTAGGGCTGGAACTGTTCTGATAAGAATGTTCGTCAAACTCCATCCCTTAGTAATGGATATAAAAAGAAAAAAATATAATAACAGTGATAATAATAATAATAATAGTAATAATTGAACACTATACTCTCTAGAGAGAGTTAAGAGAGAGAGAGAGAGAGAGAGAGAGAAAGAACTCTTCTCTCTAGAGTGATGAGAAAATAATTTGAATTTCACCTTTTACTCTCTATTGACCACAACTTTAAATCTAATACACTACATATAATGTTCGCGCATAGGAGAAGAGAGCACGAGCGTTAAGAGAATCAAAAATGTAAAGCTTTTATCCATTGAGTATTACGCGTATTTTTTAATCTGATGACGTCAGCAAGCACTTGAAAATCTCAAGTTTATGTACAATGAACACCAAGGACTTACTTGACTGCGTTTTATTTCTATTATTTTCATTTTTAAACAAAACAACGCATAGCATGCGTTGACTAGGATCTGAACGCTTAAGCCGGATGTCGTATAAATAGACAAAAACACAAAATAGAAAAAAAAAAAAAAATAAATAAATAAATAAATAAATAAAAGTTCAAATAAATTAAAGAAATACTTACGAGTTTTCGAATACTTCCAAAGAGAATTTAAACATGTACAGTGTGTGCATAGATTCATTGAACGGAATACTTTATATAAAAACTTGTAGTAAGTGAACGATGCCTGCCCGCGGTCTCTTGTGCAAATTTTTTGAAAACGAATTTTAATAACTTGCATGTGCAAGTTTCTCAAAAGTTTCAAAAGAATTAATTTCCGTTTTTTTTTGATAAATTCAACGGTTAACCTAAAAATAAAGTGAACTGAAATAAAAATTTAAAAAAAAAAAAAAAACTTTGTTATTCTAGTTATTTATGCATGCAGTTGGCAAGAAAAAAGCCACAAGCCACAAGTGGAGGGGGGGACTTAATTCAGTCACAGCCTGATTCGATCAACTGGTAATATGTAATACGTAATACATTTTATAAGTTTCACTTCAAAACGGTGTTGTCAGTGGTTTCTGTAAGAAAGATTATCACATTCACATTTACTTAATTAAATAATAATTAAAAATAAAAGATAAAATAAGAAATTGATTATGTGATTTTATAAAGTCATTTTAAAGGAGGACGGCAAACGACATTTATGTCTGTGTTGAAAATATTTTGAGCGTTTCTACAAAACTCTTGTGGCATTGAAGTAGAATTGTATAAAAAAATATTTGATTTAACACTGACGAGAAGCTGTCATTCAGTCCTTGCCTAAGTTATTTGATAAGTTTATAAGTGGCTTATATGGCCGAGCGAGAGATAGAGAGATTATTAGGAGCTCTTTTCTTCAGTAGAGCGCTTTAATCGGGGCATATGCCTTGCATATGACAGTTATTACAGACTACTGGCATATACGGATGTGAGTGAATAGAATTTATAATGGAATTAACTCTCAGCCCAAGTGTGTTAGGTTATCCCATTTAACAAGAAACCTTAAAGTGCTAAATGCTTATGAATAACTTACGATACCGAAGGTAAAATGTCATTAGATGGTTTAATTACTATTGTTCTAGAAATTTCGTTATTCTTGCTACGCCTTGCAGATGGTAGATGAAGAACGTGCAACCTTCGAGTAAGCTGTCAAGTATCCAGTAAAACTCATTTATTGTTCGAATTTCTATTTGTAAATTTAATACAACAGTTCTTAATCTGTTGTAATAATCATATTAGGTTTTAGGTATTGGCTACTAAGTGACAAAAACAAGGAAAGTTAAATGTTGGCTTTAATGGCGCTGGACGGGCAGGGCCCGCTACAATCTCAACAAGAAACTGTGGAATTTGTCATCCCAAGCATGGTATGCCCCGATGAGAAAAATAGGGCTATGCGTTAATTCATCCATTATTCGAAACAAAACCAGCATCGCTCGCCTCTTGCTCTTTATTTTTGTAAACTTAAGCTCTTCTAAGCTGTGTTTAGCAAATATGAAACACGCACAGACCCATTTGGGATAGTATTCTGAGCTTGTCTATCCGTCTGTCCGTTATACTCTCTTCCGTTCAACCTACGAATCCCAATTTTGGCACATTGGCACAGCTTACTTTCTTACCCACGGACGAATTCTTTCGAAAATGGTTCGTATTGGATCACTTTTTTCGATCACTTCCGAGACAACGCTCAATTTTGAAAATTCGTTATATGAATAGCCAGTAGGGTACTTGTTTTTTTTTTTTTTTTTTACTTTTTGTGTTTGCTTTTATCCAACTTATTTGGCAACACACTGCCAGACTGAAAGCATAAAATATTCCTCCATTATATTATATTACGTGTTACATAAACCGATTATCCATTAACGAAGCAGTCAAACTGAAGAATAGCAAGCAACAAATTAGACATGCATAGTTTTCTAATCAGATAATCCTTCACACACAAGTTCATAAACTAGTAAAATGAAATCAAGCTGTCGCTGTTCCCACGCAATTATAGACAAAATTCCATGTGTCTCTCTCCGGTATGGACGAAACCATTAAATTACATCAATGCAGAAGTTTTCAATGACCAAAGTTATACCCAGCTTAGGCGACATTTTGATGAAAAATTCATGTAATCCTCGCTAAAGGGAAGCAAAGAACAACTTTAAGTAGATGTTGAAAAACTTATTTAATTCGAAGATTTGTTGGGAGAATTTTTTTAATACCTTTTCGAAAACTTCCAAAAAGATTTTTAAAAGCTTTTGCGAAAATGTTAGTTATTCGACATATTTCGTTATTTCCCAAAGAAAAATCTATCAAATTTCCTTAAGAGCGGTCTCTGCCAACTTTATAAATCTCATAAGCACAGCGAGAAAGCTTTCTTTCCGGTGAACGGTGCTCTAGACGGTTTCACACTTAAGATCATTATTTCCGGCAGGTCCAAAGTTATCGGTGACAGTGCCACAACTCCTTTTTTCTTTTTACATTTTATTAACAAAGGCAAATGTTTTTCATGTGTTTTCCTTGGCGTAACGTAAGGACTTGTTTGAGACTTCTATTCGTTATCTAAGTTCGTATGGACATAACCAACACTTGATATACAGTAGTTTGTGTCGACGAATGAACGGAAGAGCGGGTGGATTAGCGGAAGAAAGAACAATCGAACAATTGGTTGCGTAATGCGGTCGAACATGTGGACGAACTGATGCGTCGAAGGAGGGAACCGAAAAGTTCGACGGATGTATGAACAGATGGATGACTGGATCTATAGATCTGTAAATCACTGACACGCTGGATACATGGTTGCACGTATGGCTGACTTGGTGGCTGAATGTACGAGTGAATGGGTCACCGGATGGCTGCACGAAAGCTTAAAGCTTTGACTGTACAAACAGCTTGATGATATTGGTAGACGTTTAAATGTACCGATGGGCGATACGCTCGACAAATGCTTAAACCAACGGCTTGACCTTTAGGTGGACGGACGAACGACGATAATTACAGCGAATTAGATTTTGAGAACTATGTCTCGTTCGGAGAATATCTAGTGGGATCAAGTGGGTTTTTGTAATAGTGAGAGCGAAAAGAAGGTTTAAAGAAAACCTGTTGTGCTAAGCATTAAAATTTATACGCAATTTCTTGGCTTTCTCTGTTTTCTTTTCAACTTGCAATTTTCGTATTCTATAAAATATTCAATGAAAGCCTGATGATCTGATTTTATTTACTATTTTTTCACCTTTTTTTTTTCCTTTTCTGTTTTATTATCATCTCAATGAAACGATTAACATTAAAACCTTTACCACAAGCATTTTTCGCAGCCGTATGTGCACTTATGCGCACACATATGCACATATTGCATATATGGCATATTTATTGCCCTATTTTGAGGCGCTTTAATACACTTATAGTTGATAATTTCCTTCCACTTCCACGTTTTCTTGTACGATGCACATAGCGCGCGATAAATGCACATATAATCCTATAAACATGTCATTTATAAAATTGTGACATGTACGCAAAAGAAAATGAACGAGGAAAGCAGATGAAGAAAACGTAACCATAAAATCACGCATGCATACATATACACGTACGTATACATGCATACTGCAATGGCAACTATAGCAACAGCAACAGCAACAGCAACAGCAACAACAGCAATATTAACTAAAAAGTCATTAATATTGCACAACAACATGCATTAAGTTATATTTAACTTCATTTGTAAGCGGATAAAATAGTATTCTATAAAAGAGCAGAATTCTCTATAAGAAGATTCTCGTGCAAAAAACGAGCGCACAATAACAGCAGTGTACTAATAATAATGGCAAGAAAACAAGTTATGCAATAAGCTTGTATTGCTTGTATGGGTATATGGGTATATGTGTATGTGCGCGTTTGGGGTGTATGCATGCGTGTCTCTAGAAAACAGTTATTGAAAAATAGCTAAGCTGACAAGTGAAAGGGTTGAAAAGTTGAATATGCACGCACATACATACTTGTCAGTAAGTTTACGAATGAATAGATCTAACGGCGGATATACGAAAATTATTAACATTTCTGAGAGCTATAAGCAAAAAGGGGCAAACAACAATTTACAACATATTCACGCAAACCAACATTCACATTCGCATAACCCCATGCATGGCTATTAGTGGAAATGTTAGCGTATTTCAAGAGCATCCCCAACTTCTCTTTACAAGGAATGCAAAAAAATAAAAAAATAAAAAAACTCAACAAGAGAAATAAGACACCAGCATATTGCTTTCCATATTTACATATATGTCGTTGGGTTAGTGTCACAAGTAAAAGCAGTCACGATTTTCTACTATTCTATAAAGAGAATTGAAAATTCCGTTCACTGCGTGCATGGGTGCGTACACAATGCAAATGTACGTGTGCGTATGATTAAGTAAATGAGGAAAAAGTAACAAATGGAAATGAATACTTATCCGCGTGGTTTAGACTGATAATGCCTAGGCATCTGAAAACGTCATAGAGTAGGATATTAACTGTATTATAGTATGTAAAAGACACAACAAGTTAGCGCTCTCTCCAACATTATATCCACAGCTACAGCATATGCCTGCAGGTTAGTAAAAAAGAATAGACTTTGAACATTTGACAACTATTTGTCTAAAATTTTATTCCGACGATTGCTACAGGCGGGATCAAAAATTTATTATCTATTGTGCGAGTTAGTCATTAGTCTCATTTTTTACAAATTTTGAAGATTTTTATCCACTAAGCGACAGATGGGCAAAAAGTCCTTCGGGCTCTATCACTGGAAGACGGTCAATGTTATGGGCCTAGTCGTTGTTTGTTAGGCGAACAGGCACGCAAGAATGTTTGCGGGACTATATGACGTGACTGCTCACTTGGTGGAAGAGTCGCGAAGAACTAATGCAACGTACGAAGATGCATTGTGGTTGATGCAAAATCCAACAATTTTCTGCCTATAATTTCGATCAATGACTTCATGCAAATGACGCACAATGTTAAAGTTGTTTTTTTTTTTTTTTTTTGTTTTAATGTCGCCAATCAGTCATGGTGTGTCTATCTCCTATACGTATATGACGGCAATTTATTTATTTACATATGAAACTCAAATAAAATAAAAAAAAATAAAAAAAAAAAACAGTCGAATTCAATTAACTCTTAGGAGTAAATCTTATATTAATTATTATTCAAAACTAGTATAAAATATATAAAATGAAATAAAGAAAAAAAAAAAAAATATAATAATAATAATTAAATAATAATTCATGTATAATTAAATAAGAAAGAAAGAACAAAAACAAAGCACGTACACAACTAGCACAGAGGCATACCCACAACGAGAACCAAGTTGCAAGTAAACCCCTAAGCCATTGCAAACATGCAAGAGCTTGGCAACCGCTAGCAGTAAACAACACCAGTTAACTGTCGAACCATAGTGAGATGTGAAGATTGCAAGTTAGTTTAAATACGACATAAACAAATGGTGCTTATTAAGCATAGTT